GCCCCTACTTCAGCGTGTGTTGTGCGAACCATGCCTGCGCATCGATGGCCAAACCCCGGGTAGGCGTCGTCTAGAGATCGTTGAAAAATTTAACCTTGCAAAACCGACGGACCCTCATATTCTCCTAATCAGCTCAAGGGCCGGTGGCGTAGGACTAAATTTGACGGGTGCCAACCACCTGGTTCTCTATGACATGGACTGGAACCCGGCCAACGACGCCCAGGTTTTTTGCGACTATATCCACGTTTTTAACTTATCCTTATTTACCAAATACGGAAATGCTAAATTCGAACTATACTTCCGTCTTTGCTAGCTTCTACTATTAAGATACTTTGTAAATGTACTCTTTCGGGTTCTTAAGGCTAATAAACCGTAAACTGGCATAATGTCGAAGACTATTTATGTTATAAGCTTTGGGTGGACGGACAAAAACTGGTGCTTATTAGTTCCCTTTTCCAAATCTTGTTCTCCGTAGCAGATGTTTAAATGGCGTAAACATCAATTCACCTGAATTTTATAACGTAGTGAAGATATGAAAACCAAGATGTTGTGGCCTCTGGTGTGGTCGCAGTCTCCTCTCGATTTATAGAAGTGGGTTGACCTCGTTGTCGCAACTTTGTTTTGTTGTTAGGGCGAATAGGTATAACGCACCTAGTCCGAAGTCGTCTGCCATAGTAGTTGTCATGATTCCCAGCATCTGACAGTGGACTTGCTGTATTCTCAAACGTTTCGCCGGCATCGTAGTCGGCATCATCAGTTAGTTTTGGTGCGGAGAATAGAATGAATACATCTCATATATATGATTTACTATTAGTTTCATAAACCTGCCTATAAAGCGAAAAATTACTATATTTGTTACTTAAGTTTATAATTTGATAATTAAATGAGCCATACTTAGATCATTTCATAACTTAAATATTTATTCTCTCTGTTTTCTTCTAAAAGTCACTTGCTCGTGTCTGGCGTGAGGGTCAGAAGAGGTGTGTCCGACTTTACCGCCTAGTGACGGCGGCCGGCATGGAGGAACGAATGTTACAGCGTCAGGTTGCCAAGCTATCTCTAGCGAGCAGGGTCATTGGCTCTGAGAATTGCTATTCATTAAACCAACGTTCGAACTGCAGGCTTTCCAGAGAGGAGCTCAAGGTTATTATTATTTTTCGCATTTAAGTATTGTTTCGAGACTACCAGTCTTGAAATAAGTGTGATGTGAGATTCAAAACCAGATTCGAGCCTATTTAAGCCCCTTCTTGCTCGCTGTTATTTCTCGTTCCACCCCTTCCCTCTAAACTTATCCAATAGCCACAAGTAGTTTGCGCTTAACTTCCTACACTCATTTCTTCTATTCAGGGTGCTGGCTGTTTTGTTGATTTTTATCGCGACCCTAATCTTTCGCTTTCAAGCTAGGCTTTTGGCGTTAAACCAATCTATCTGGAGTACTGTGCTAACCATGCGTTCATGCAATTCCGATTTTTGGCACGACATAACCTTACAGGCTGTTCTGTGTTCTGATAACCTCTTATATATGGGCATACAGGTCTCTTCCACACAGACGCTACCACATAAACACAAAATCATGTAACAGCCCGATCTGGAGAGAGGGTTAGAGTATTATTGAAGAAAGGGCATTACCGGTGAAAGTGTTATTTTTTTCTTTATAAATGGTCATGATGCCCAACCTCCTCATAAATTCTCTTATCTTCTTCGTAAGATTACACGATAGCAGCATAAGGATTCTCGTAGTGCTATATAATTTTATTTAGCCTTTAATATTTAATTCCCTCCATCCTATTTGACAATATTCTAGGATAAATGTCAATCAGCCCTCGTGGAGAATTATTCTCAACCAGAATTCTCTTTAGTTGTTCCTTGTCCCGATGCTTAAAATCTATCAGATGCAGACTCCTTATTATCATAGACCTCATTACACCTACATTAATCCCATAAGTGTGGTTGGAGAAAAAATTCAAAAGAAAACCTGCATTTGTGTGTTCCCTTACATAATCTACCTAATCTAGTCCCATCTTTTCTAACTAGGACATCAATAAAAGACAGACCACCTTTCCTTTCCAACTCGATATTTCTTTATTGATTACCTTGTAGGTGGTATTATCATCCAAAGCCTGCATCATTTTTTCTACATGGCTCAACCTACCCATAACTACCACTGCTCCTCCATTGTCTGCCCTGAACACCATTTGGTCATAATCATCCAATTTCCTCATAATGTTTTCATTTTCTTATTACATAATGTTATTTTTGCATGGTTATTAATTAAAAGAACGACCTGTACTTCAATATCATTTCTAGTCCTTTCTGGGATATGGTCGGTATAACTTATGAGGTATACCAGAATCTTCTCCATATTAGCCTTACTTTTTGACAAAGCAAGGTTAACCATGGTGATTTAATTTCATCCTTTTATTTCTCACCAACTAACTTCAGAAAACTTATGATAACATGTAGAAATACTGGGTTTCGAAGAATCAGCTAAGATATTGATGTTGAAGTACCTTTTATTTAGTTTGAAGAGGCGAGTGGAAGGGATTCGTAAATTGGTTACAACGGAGGCTTTGGGGTGTTGCTTTGGAGCTGTGGTTGTTGATAAGACTGATGTGAGGTAGAAACAGCAGTCCATTCTGAATGAGAACGACTTTTGGGAATGCAAGGATATGTGAAATTTAATGGAAACGTCAGCTCTACTCATATAATTGTGGGGAAATTCTTCTACCAGTCATTCATCACCTTAACAAAATTTGGTGAATACATCTCATATTATTATTATTATTATTGATGTACCTTTCATTTCGCTAGAAGAGACGAGTGGAAAGGATTCATAAATTGGTCTCATCGGAAGCTAAAGGGGACTTTCATTGAAGCTGTGACAGATTTGTGCGAATAGTTGCTCGATGCGAGGGGCTGAAAGGCGATGCATCGAGAACTTATTCACACAAGCCTATAGTCTAAGCTCCAAGACAATCCTCCCTCCGGTGAAGCCAACTTAGGAATACCATCCACTTCTCTTCAAGCGAATCGTAAGGCACTCCAACACCAATCTATTAAGGGATTCTTCGAAACCCAGTTTTTCTACATACTTGATTATTATTAACTTTTTATGACTTGTATCACTTCATTTTTCCTAAATTTAAATTTGAATTTTCTAGCTTGGAGGCTTTTATTTTTCACTACACGATTAACTCAATTCCATAATAGAAATAAATGGCAAGATGGTTAGGTATATATATTCTTCGATTCAATATAAAACCTGATCTTTCGTTTATTTTGAACGACTTAACTTTTATACCTCTCTTG